AATCAATCATGGCACAGCCCCATTCTGCTCATCCTTTGGTAACTCCCTAATTAAAGATGAAAAAGGCATTCTTCAGTGCTGGAAAAAGCACTACCATTCGCTGCTCAATTGAAACACCAATGTGGATGTCCTGACTACCTAGAAGGTACCTCAGCATCCAGACCTGAGCCACCTCAAGCTATCCTCCATCCCTGGATGAGGTAACTACTGCTGTCAAACAGATGAAAAATAACAAAGCCTCAGGGACTGATGGAATCCCAGCTGAGGTGTATAAAACAGGAGGACCTCTGCTTACCAGCCGTCTCCACCCTCTCCTGGAGAATATATGGGAAAAGGAGGAAATCCCCAATGATTTTAAAGACGCCTCGGTCATTAATATCTATATGAAATAGGGAGACTGGTCAGACTGTGGCAACTACCGTGGGATCTCACTGCTGTCTATAGCTGGCAAGATTGTCGCCTTAGTCCTACTAAACAGACTTCTTCCTGAAGCGGAAAACTTTCTCCCAGAATCTCAATGTGGCTTCAGGCCATCACATGGCACCAAAGACATGATCTTTGCTGCCCGCCAGATACAGAAAAAGTGCAAAGAACAGTGTCGTGACCTGTACATGGCCTTCATTGACCTAACCAAGGCCTTCAACTCAGTCAACAGGGAGGCCCTCTGGCAGACCCTCTGCTGTTTTGGTTGCTCACCAAAATTCATCGACATTGTAAGGCAACTCAACGATGGCATGAACGGTTGTGTCCTGCACAATGGCACCCAGTTTGAGTTCCTCTCTATCCAAACGGGGGTAAAACAAGGATGTGTACTGGCATGAACTCTCTTCTCTTTTCTATTTTCTTGGCTGCATTCCTTACTCGTGCCAGTGCCAATTTAGCCGGCGGGATAGACATCGAGTACCGGCTGAAGGAGCTTTTCAACATAAGACAACTCAGGCAGGAACAAAGGTGTTGGCAGCTTCCATTACTGAGGTTCAGTATGCAGATGACTTCACCCTTGTCAGGAGATCCTGAACACCTACGCAGATGCGTACGCACACTTCAACCTTGAGGTGAATGTACGTAAGACTCAGATTCTCTTTCAGCCTGCCCCTGGTTCAGCCACACCTCCATCATCCATCCCATTTAACAGTACTACCCTCTCTAATGTTATCCACTTTCAGTATCTCGGTTCCCACCTGCTGTACATCGATAAAGAGATTCAACATCAGATCAGATGTGCATCTCAAGCCTTTAGCAGACTCCGTACCAGTCTCTTTAGCTGTAGGGAATTTAAATTATCTACAAAATTGCATGTATATATCGAGAAGAGTTCCTCCTCACCCTGCTATATGGCAGTGAGACATGGGTCACATGGAAGAGGCACCTCAAGGCACTTAAAAACTTTGACCAACGTAATCTATGTTCCATCCTCCAAGTTTGTTGGGAAGAAGAGAGAACAAATGCCAGTATTCTTGCTGACACCAACTGTAGGAACATCGAGGCTACCATTATCCATGAACAATTATGTCGGACTGTTCATAGTACCCACATGGATGATAGTAGACTGCCAAAGCAGTTACTTTACAGTCACCTAACAAATTGCAAACGTAATGCTGGCAGGAAACTGAAAAGGTATAAAGATGGTCTTAAGACAAACCTGAAAAAGTGCCCAAATCGACCCCCTCACCTGGTAGACAATTACTCCACTCTGTAACGTTTGGACGAGTCCCACACAAGAAAGTGTCAACACTTTCGAGTTAGCCTGACCATATACCGTGGCAGACAAGCACCAACGCCGTAAAGACGCTGCTACCGCCCCACCCACGCTAGATGTAACCCCCCACATGTGCAACATCTGTGGATGACACTACTGGCCCCATATCAGCCTTTCTAGTCACCTCAGAGCTAACCAATGTAGGTCACATCCCTAATAACTCATATCATTGTTTCATAGCTGGATTATAGTCATTTTTTATTCCGAGTGACAGCAAAGGAGTAGTAGTGTGGTTGATATGGAACATAAACTGTCATATGGCAGTCATTTATTATTACCTCATATAGTTCTTAGTGTATTACACTGAAAATTCGTTATATACTTCATTCGTCACCATGACACAATAATTACATCAAAATGATAGATTATAAGAAAACCTCCCAATGTTGAATGTGACAAATGAATGTGAAATGTTGCAGTGGCAGCTCAAAGTGTTGTGAACATGTTTCCATTTTAATATAAGCGGTGGATAGAAGTCTGCTCCACCGCACATCATTTATTTAGAAACATATTCAACACATATTGTTACCTTCGTACTGGTTTCTAAGAACAAAATGTTTAAAATGACCACTGATTCAATATTTCTTTTATGACACCAGTGTCAAACACTTATTATTGTATGTTATCAATGATCCATTAATTCACACCCATCCCACAGCCTTGATTCCTTTACAGATAAAGAAATAGATATAGTCAATAGGATGGGAATTAGTTGTGCTTAGAAAAAGTATTATTTTCCTTTACAGTTCACCATCCTTACATGAGACTTGACATGCACCCCGGATACTGAGACAAATTGCAAGCACCATCTATTATTATTATTACAGTACATGTTTTAATTACTCTATTAGTATGGTAAAGTAGATTGTTCTAACAAGCAACAAACACATGTGAATAAAGAATCACTGCAATTAACTTGAAACCTATGACCAAAGTTTAATATGAACAATACAGTAAGTCCTCGCTTAAGATCGTGGTTTTGTTCCTGAAAATTGCAATGTTAACGGAATCAATCTTCCCCATAAGAAATAGATAGATTACAGGAATTACGTTCCTGAGCCTCCCTTTGGCCCATGAAATACATTGCATATACAGAAATTCAATGGCATTTTTATAGAAAACAGTATGTGTATAAATAAACTTAATAATTTTGTATTGTACTCACTGATGGATGGAGGTGGTGAAGCGAGTGTGTGGTGGGTGGCGAGCCACTGAGACCTGGCGGGTGACTCCTCCTCCCGGTTTAAAACCTCCATTTTCGTAGCAAAGCTAATTGGCCTTACGTTGCTTCTTCACAACAATAGCATCAGTAGCACATGATGGGCGCTTGGAAGCCATTTCGAATTGTTAGAGTACAATATTAAGAGCAAAAACACTTAAACACGCACGAACACTGTAGAAGCCTAATAAAGACTGACGGCGCTTGGGGACGCTGTGACGTTCCGCGAGTGAGAGGTAGCACACCAAGACGAGAGAGAGAGTGATGCACCATAAAAAGTAATCCGTGACGATGCTAAAAACGACGTTATATTGAGTCGTCTGGACGTTAACCGAATTATTGGTATCTAAAGAGTAGCTACGTTATAATGAAACAACGTTATTGGGGCAACATTAAAATGAGGACTTACTGTATTTGAAAGTTATCTGCATAATTTCCATAATGTGACAACCTGTGGTGTAATGGTCAGCATCCTCGCCTCGCAAGTGAGCGGACCAGGTTTTGATCCCCGGGCAGGGTGAAACTATGGGCCAGTTTCTTTACGCCATTTGCCTCTGTCTACCCAACAGTAATTAAGAACCTGGATGTTAATCGATTTGTGGATCGTATTCTGGGGTAATGGTTAGCCAGCCAGTGCAGTTGGCGAGTTGTCCGGTCTTCTCAAACTATTCCTTGACACTGGGTCATGCAGCTCGTTAACTTTGGGTGTGGTTGTCGTGTTGGCGACAGCATCTACACCTAAAACAAATTCATGCCAAGGTGGCCCTTGGGCCGGCCATCCTCGTTACACGAGGGGCAACCATTATTATTATTATTATTATTATCTGCATAATATAGTAAATGAGGAAAATAATAAACTTAAGCTTTAATTAAATCACTAAAGGATACCATGAGTGTAGGTAGAGGGGCACCTGCCTCCCCCCCCTATCATCCTTACGTCACTTCACCTCGCCATACGACCGTCCACTAGACAAAAGATATGAGCTAATAACAGTGTAAACAGTGCATTTCTAATGAAGTATATAAACATTCCACAAATCATAATTTTTTTTTTTATCATATTCGCCACTTATCAGCTTACTAGCCGTTTGGGCGGTTTATCCCGTGTTAGTACAGGAGGAAACTGGGTACCGGGAAACCTGTGGTGTTTGGTAGTGAGGGTCACACTGGATAACACCCTTCTCACGTGTGTCTGGGCCGAGGCTCGAACCCTTTACATATTGGTTTTAATATGTTTTTACTTTGATTCCATAGTATGTTTACTATTGTGAGTTTCCTTCTGTCGAATGTAACAAACACAGCGCTGCCACACAGCACAAAAGCTAATGAGCCCCTGTAAATGCACAAGTGAAGGGGACTGTACATACTGTAGAGTACAATACAGTACTGTAAGATGTTTGGGTGATTCTTTACAGTGTACTCTCCATTATTGTATTCTTATATTTGTGTTAAAGTTTACTGTTGCACAAGTATTAAGTACAAACTGTAAATCTATACACTAAATATTGGTAAGTAGTGTTTTCTTTGTATTAAGACACATTGTGTAAAGCCACATTGGGCTTACAAAAGGTGCACACACTAATCCTCTCCAAGCACATGGTATTAAAATATTCTTAATATATTTCATAAATTACTACAGTAGACCCTCAAATGGGAATGAGACCAAGAATTATTGTCAAATAGTGAATGGAACAGGATTGTTTCCTGGAAAACTAACATGGCAGACCCAGACATTACGAGAAGTGCCACTTTATGTGCCATCATCTGCTTGTGCAGGCCTCCTGCCAACTATTGTTTGAGGGAACTGTTGGTTTTACTCTCCCTTTTTAGGACAATAATTACAACAAGGAGGTTAACCTTTTACAATTTGTCCCATCAACTGTCAGGTCTCCAGGTCTTGATTAATAGCTCAGTGTGCTCACAATATTCAAGCCAAGTGAAGGGCAATTGGTAACAAAAGTTTCTATTAACAGGTAAGATCTATTTACAGGAATAAATGTGAAACAGCATGAGGCCACTTACCATACATAAGGGCAACAAGACACCTTTGAAAAAAGCTGCTGGTTTAAAAAGTGCCTTAAACAGTGCTTGATAGAGATGAAAGTTGAGTCGCTTGTAGAAAGATATGTCATCCCGGACTCTTGGTAAGAGAACTAGGTTGAAAAATCGCTGAGCCATTGCTTCTTTAAGGTTACTGACAAAGATTCTAACAGCCTGATACATAGCAGCAGCAGACCATTTGTCTGGATCTGTAAATAAAATTAATATACAAGTACAGGTATGTTAAAAGAAAGTTATCTTGTTTCTCACTCACACACACACACACATACATACAGTATATAGCAATATGCCTCAAGGGTCGAGTAAGCCATGGGTGGGCAGTAGGGCCACTATTTTCCTTAGCTACTGGATTGAAATACTAGTTAAAAAAATGGTAGGAGGAGAGAGAAGACAAAAGAGATGTGTATGTGCATGTGCAACATCAGACAGTATGTAATTTGTAAATATTAATAATAACATGAATGTCAATTTGGAAAGGTAAGCCATATTATCATACAGAAACTTGTATTAAATCAAACATATTTTCCATGACCACTGGTATCCTGTTCAGTTTGAGTTGAATTGTGAGGTGACAAAGAACAAACAGATACATGGATATATTGACAATTCCAAGAGATCACAATTATCACACCAAGAGTGGAAACATACTGTAGGTTGAGCAGTCGAAGTCAAGTAATGGGAGTACTGTAGTACCAAATCTCACATTAATGAGTTTAATTAGTACAGTATACACCAGAACCTCAACATTAGTGAATTTAACTTTCACAAATTTGACAATCCACGAAAGAGCCTCAGAGGTTTATATCTATTGAAATAAAATAAAAAGATATGGTGCTTATTTAAAACCCGCAAGGGTGCACCATGATGTGACGTCAAGGCATCCTTCCACTTCCCACGTGTTCCCCAGCTTCTACCGTCAGTCTCATCCGAGTCATCTCTGCTGTTGCCAGGCCGCAGGAATTCTTACTCCTCCTTCCTTCTGAGCAATTCTAACTTTAATTATAACTTTGTCATGCCCCTCAAAAGGCCATTAACTGGTGGTAGTGCATCTGGTGCAAAGAGAGTGAAGAAAGTGATGACTCTTACACAGAAAATTGAAGTGTTGGATAAACTCACTGGTGGCATGAGTATGTCAGCTGTTGGCAATACATTTGGAGTAAATAAGTCAATTGTTATGACAATGATCCATCAATGGAAGTACACATCAAAGTGAAACAATATCAATATTGCTTTACAATCTTGCCAATAAATCGATAAAAAAAGAAAAAGAAAGACAATTGCTAATCACAATGTTTTTAATGAGGAGATCCAGCCTCCCCTCCCTCTCTCTCCACACCAACCAGCCCAGTGTCATCTACATCACCCCTCCAATGCTCACGGCCTGCCTATCCCCTTCACTCCACCAATACTGCCTCCTCACCTTCACTGGACATTCTGGATTATCCCATTCCAGAGGTCTAAAAGGAGGATTAGTAATATCTTCAGTATCATTACTGAGGCCTCTACAGCAGCTCATTATGAGGTGAGGTAAGGAAAGGACACTTTATATACATAAGTAACACTGCTAATTATTTTGCTCTATAATATTGATATTACACTTATGAATGGGATAAATTATAAATTCTTCCCAGGCATAAGTGTGTTAAAGGAAAACTTAATATTTAGTATGTATGCATGTTTCATTCACAACATTTTGTGTCAGGTATGCGATGAAGGTGCAGTGGTGGTGGTATGAGCCGTGTGAGGCAGGCCGCAGACGATGCGTCTTCATTACTGTGATCTAGTTGACGTCCCTAACATCACACCAAATTAATTTGCTTTTTCTTTTATTTTATTTTTCTTAACACATAATTCAACAATCTAAAGTAACTGTACATACCTGTGTAGTATTTAGAGGGCTTATGTAAAATTTTTTTAAGCCTTCAGTCCCTATTCGAAGGGCCGGATCCAGGCCCTGCATTGTTAAAAAAAATTCTGACATCGGTCAAATAACTGACCTATCGGTAACGTCATCTAATTGTCAGTGTTGCATGGCCCACCAGCTTCTGACTGCAGCTGACACTTTCTGTACTTGAGTGACAGGTTTGACAAACCGTCCCCAGGGATGGGATAATCGGAGGTGTAATAAGGTCACAGCTAAGGTCCCACTCACATCATCTTCTGACCCACATCACCTGAACTCCAGCTGGGATTCCCCCTTGAGGCATCACACGGCGGTCACCTTTGTGAGGGGCTACGACCTAAGCTTTAACCCTTTGGCCGCGCAAAGCGACTTTAGTCGCCTGACAGAACGAAACATTTCACCGCGCAAAGCGACTTTACTCCACGAGCACAGGGGAAAATTCTTAATTTCCCGCACACGGCTAAGATCGTCCTGGGGTTAAAAATGCACCCTGTTTGTGCTGCCATCTGTTATCCGCTAGGCAAAACATATCCCAAGGACGCATTAGCTGACACAACCACATGACTCACAGATTTCCAGATCCAGCGTAGCGTCATATATTTGTTCATCTTCCACATAAATAAGGTATTTTTTATTCTTTTATTATGGTGATAGGCAGTGTAAGTGTTTCAAGCATGTGAATATATATAACAGACCGATATAGATAAGCAAATAGTGGTGGTTATATGTAAAAATATGATCGCTATTTTTTCGTCAGTTTGTCGGTATAAAGATTTGCCAGAAAATAGTTTCAGCGGCATATATCTGTTCATAATCCACATAAAGAAGGCAGTATAAGTGTTTCAAGCATGAGAATATATATAAAAGACTGATACAGATAAGCAAATAGTGGTGGTTATATCTCATAATATGATCTCTGTTTTTCCATCTGTTTGCCTGTATAAAGATTTGCTATAATATTGTTTCTGCATAACCCAGGCATTTTTGGCATAGTCCAGTGTTAAAATATGAATAAAGACTGTGTTATATATATTTGAGTAGTTATTTTGTCACGCAACAGCCTGTATATAGACAAAAATTGCGAAATAAGACAACTTTTCACTGTTCTTGTCGCTTCCCATTTTCTGTGATATGCAAAATAAATTAATATTTTGCAGTAACTTATATATTTTTGTTACTTACTAGCGACCATCTGTACCAAAAGGAATATAGAAGGGAGGTTATTGTAGGCATGTTGGATGGGTACTCTGTCAAGGAATCAAAACGTCAGAGGAGGAGTGTAGTACCTTTAGCCACTAGATTGACAGAAAGGCATTTCATTTCTCAATTTCAGGACAAACAATACAAGCCCAATTGTGTTGTCTGTTCTATTTTACCATCTCAATGTGTAAAGAAAGGTCGAGGCGCATGCAAGAGAAAACAAACAACATTCTCCTGTCAAAAATGTCCTGACCACCCTCCCCTATGTGTCGTGCACTGTTTCGAGAGATATCATACTAAAACCAATTATAAAATGTCCTGTCAGTACTCGTAATGTTCATGTAATGTAGCTATATACAGTTTTACCCCGCTTAACGCGCTTTCACTTAACGCGTTTTCGCATATACGCGGTGCCTTGCCAAAGCTGAACTTTCACTTAACGCGGGTTTTTCCACAGCTACGCGGTGAGTGTCCGGCTCGGATGCTATTTTTAGATTTTGACCACGCGCCACCCACCCGCCCGCCTGCCTGCCTGCCTCTCCCTCCTCCTCCCTCCGCTTGGGTAAGCGGCGCGGTAAGGTTGCGCAGTGTGTGTCTTTGTTGCGTTATCACTGACGTCATATGACGTCTCGGACTGTGATTGGCCATGCAGCCCTACCCCCCTCTGCTGCTAGCTGTAATTGGCTTAAAGTATTATGACGTGACTACCCCGGGGAGGGAGGGAGGGAGGAGAGACGACGCTTGACCTAGCCGCGGCAGTTTCATCCCTCAAGGCCACGCCGGGTTAACGCGCATCCATTGTTCCGTAAAATGGCTTCCGCCGGACCACCACCCCCAGAGAGAAACCTTTCCTTACCTGGACCCAGCGGCACTAAACCAAAGAAGACACGACGTTCATTAAGCTACGAGCTGAAGTACCAAATTGTTCAAGATTTGGAGAAAGGAAGACGCCAAGTTGATCTCGCGCGCCAGCATGGCGTCAACGAATCTACGATTCGTACAATAAAGAAGGATGCAGCCAAGATAAAGGAGCACATGAAGATCACAAAGTCTGCAGGTGCTTCATCTATCAGGTATTGCCAGAACAGGGTGCTGGCAAAAGTGGAAACTTTGCTGGTGAGTTATTTGGTGCGTCAGGCGCGACGCAACATGGCGGTGGACACGCGCTCAGTGCAGGAGTACGCACGTGAGCTATACGCAGCAGTGACACGTAAACTGGGAATTGCAGAGCCCAAACCCTTCAATGCTTCCCATGGTTGGCTGCATAGGTTTAAGAGGAGGAACAAGGTCACCAACATCAGCATTGTTGGTGAGGAAGCGAGTGCTGACCGTGCGGCGGCTAGAGATTTTCCTCCGTTTTTACGTGAGATTATGGAGGAAGGACAGTACAGTGACGACCAGGTGTTTAACATGGACGAATCTGGTCTTTTCTGGAAAAAGTTACCTTCCAAGACCTTCGTTGTCCAGTCTGCGAGCAAGGTAAGGGGCCGGAAGATGCAGAAGGAACGCATCACCGTCCTGTTTACCACCAATGCCTCCGGTACCTGTAAACCAAAGTTATCGGTGATTCACAAAGCCCGCAAGCCGCACGCCTACAAGAATATGGACATGAACAAGCTTAATGTCCACTGGCTAACCGCACGTAAGGCGTGGATGTCCTCTTCTCTGTCCCTCTTCTGGTTTGACAACTTTTTTGTTCCTGACGTGCAGAAATTCTGCGAGCAACAGAATGTTCCTTTCAATATTTTGTTGCTCCTTGACAACGCACCTGGACACTCGCCCCTACTTATGGATCGTCACCCCAACGTAAAAGTGGTCTTCCTTCCTCCCAACACTACGTCATTAATCCAGCCCATGGACCAGGAGTTAATCTGCAATGTTAAAGCTGCATACTCGGCAAAGAAATTCAAGCTCCTGAACGACTCTACCAACACCAAGGATGAGTTGCGTAAGCTGGGTGACACCGACAGCGAGAGTAAAAGCGACGAGGACAAGGAACAAGAGGCGGCGACTCAAGAACTTCTCGTCAAACAATTTTGGAAGAAGTTTAACGTCAAACAAGCTGTAGACTTCTTGGTGGAGGCA